CCTCTTGTTAAGTTCATATTGTAGAACATAATACAGAACTTTGCACTGTCAAAACTAATCAAGACTAGCAGTTTTCAAAGATTTATCAATCTGGACCGTTTAAAAGATAAAAGACAGGACCGTATAAACCGACATATTTAGTTTCGGTTTTGATTAATGAATTCAAATGTGCTTTGATTTCGGAGTTGCAGTTATAGAGCCTTCGTGTCATCTCACTCCACAATAATTCACGTTTTGAGAGTTGAGTCACTCTCCCACTCTTTAACTTATATTTAGGCATTGTGATTACTTGAATATACAGTCACTACATTCAAAATCAGATACGTTATAACTTATCACGCTAAAAACTTGTCACTCATGAATCATAACGTCTGTCTGCTGAGCCCTCGTGATAAGTGCGGCTGTCGACGTTTACATCAGCACCAGCGCCTCTGCAGTGTGTGTGTGTAGTAGGCTAACGTGGTGATGACTGATTGCATGCAGTACATGCATACTTGGGCTTGTTTGTTAAACAATTAGCCTATGCAAATTTATATGATTGAAAACCGCCAAACCGACCACAAACCAGCCCAAATTTTGTCCACCCGCCCAAGCCAATTTTTACCCACACAATCAAATTCAAAACCGCCCAATCTGGCAACACTGGCTGTAATGGCGCAGCTCTATTCTAGAAAAGGGTAATTCAAAACCGCCCAATTGGCAACACTGCTCTCGACGGATATTTTCTTCAGTAGACAGTTTTTCATTCGTTTTCAATTAAAACCATGTTGTTACATCGCAATTCCTAATAAAGTTACTGACCAACCAGTGAGTAGCTTCAGTTACTTGTACTCATATTTGGTACTTTAAATCCATACCCCACCATAACAACAATATAGACTCAAACAGATGAGCACAAACAAAAACATGCGTCATCGCCCCCCAACAGAAAGCAAGACACACTTGCAGCTATCAGTCAAGCTTCTTCCAGAACGTGATAGCAAACTCACAACACGCCAGCATCTTTCGTGCACTGTCGCCCGCTCATCTCCCGATCTCCGACAGGCCCCTGGCCACCCCGCCACGCCACACACATAACAACCGGGCCAGGAAGGAAAAGTGCTCTCGCCGAACAAATGATGGGGTGTTTCTGCTACTGAGTCATAACAAAATACAATCAAAAGAGACTTGTGTTCTTGCTCGCTTTATGCTTCAAATAGATAAAGCGCCTCCTGTCTTCTCTCGCACAATGCGCTGTGTAGTCTAGCAGGGCCAGGGTGACGCTCCGGGGACCAGATAGGAGTATCGATAATGCTGGCTGCATGTCCGATTGATTTTGGGAAGCTGAGACAGTGGCTGTGTGATTCTTTCTTTCTCCTGATACGCTGTGTCAAGCACACGGGCGCTGCTTATGATGGGTTTAGTGTCAGCACACACATCCGGCAGAAATGGCCACATGGAACCAGCTCCCTTAGGGGTGGTATATAACACAAAGGACACCACATAAACACACACAGCACAGTAACATTGATATATAATGGCCAAGAGGCTCTGATATCCTCATGTGATCTTTCTGAAGCACTTACTCTACAATGTAAAGACCACAGATCTGTTGTAAAACCTAGAGGGCTGCCTTGCTGTCTACATGTGGTCATATAAAGCTTTAAGCACACCCAAATACTGTACACATAGCACATTCAAGAGTTTTAGGCAAAATCATTTAATTATTGCATTTACTATATTTTTTTATTCACATCTTTCAGTATCTAATGAATTAAAACTTTTTATGCGAATCAACATTTGCCCACAGCCAAGACTGTCACAATGCATTCTGGGATTGACTTCTCCACAAAGGATAATGCTGACTTAGAATGTGGCCAGGCAAGTTGATACTTATCATTTATTTGAATCATAATAAAATAAATTAAGTTTTAATTAATGCATTTATTTTATTCTACAAATTTTTCAAAACAACAAAGTTCTGGAGAAAACAGCAAAAAAAATTTCTTTCTTTCTTTGTTTCTTTTTCTTTCTTTCT